AAGGTCTTGCAATCCCACAATGCTACAAGACGGGGGGATAAAAGTGCCATCGATTTGTGAGGGACTTGGGCAGCTGAGTGATTTCGGAGCAGCTCCATCTGCTGCCGTTTCGCTGGGCTACAACGCTCCCCACACCCGGCACGGTACTGCTCGACGGAAACACAGCACGGGGCCGCCAGGCTCCAGCTCCGCTCCCGAGGTGACACACCCAGCCTGGGACTGTCCCCTTCCTTCGGCCTCCCCACGATGGGGCACGGGGAGAGACCCCCCTCCTTCCCAGAGGCAAAAGCGGGGGGGTGGCGAGCCGCCACACCCAGCCTGGGACTGTCCCCTTCCTTCGGCCTCCCCACGATGGGGCACGGGGAGAGACCCCCCTCCTTCCCAGAGGCACAAGCGGTGGGATGGACAGCCGCACGTCAGGCTCCCCAGCCTTGCGTCACCGATGCCGGAGGCGACCTGGTGTTTTTGTTTGGTGAGACCACCCCTGCCGGGAACGCACGCAGCAGGACGCACAGGCAGCGTGCCCCGAGGAAAGGCCCGCGGTGGATCCCTCGCACCTCACCCTGCGCTGGACTTTGCGCCAGGCCTATGTACTTTTCTAGGAAGAGCAGCCACGCTTTCCCTAGAAGGGGCAGCCAACGGGAGCGGGATGTATCAAAGCCACGTCTCTCTCCCCTCCGATGGAGGGGTCAGTGGGGAAAACCCACATTCCCAGGTCCTCCTTCCCAGCATCTCGCAGCAGGAGCTTTCCCTATGCGGACCCAGGGGCTATCGCTGCTCGAGCGCTGGCCGCCGGCACCTGCACCCCGGTCAGAGCGTTGCCGCAGCTCCCGCTCAGCCCCACCAGCGCGTCGGCTGAGGCGCTGGCTCTCGAACGAGGATCGGCTCCAGCCCCACTGGTGGCTTGGCTGGTTTCCTTTAGAAAACCATGAGGAGACCACAGGATCCACGAGATGGAGTTGAGGAAGACCTCAAGAGCGCAACTCTATCTTTCTTGGTTTGTGTTACACCATCGTGAAGCCGTCAGAAGGCAGGGAACCCACCATTCCCAAAAGCCCATCGCTCCGCTTTCCCATCTCTCGCCCTCAAAGCACGTCTGTAGGACCTGGGCCCAACCCAGTATCTGCTGCCCAACCGGCGGACTTTTACACATGAAGCGCCTGGTGCCATCTTCTCATGTCTCCACTAAATAACCTCACCCTTCCCCTTCCCTCCCAGCAGCTTGCACACCACAGACCTCCGGCCACCTTCCTCCCCGTCCTCCGGACCTGCCCTGAGCGACCCCCATGCTGGTTGACGTGCAGGACCCAGCACGTTCCTCCCGCAGTCTCTGGTGGGATTTTGGCAGCGGGGGCTCACTGGGGCTCTCATAAAATGCTGCCTAGGACATGGCTTCCCCTGGTCTCTGTGTGTAACAAGGGCTTTTCCCACCCATGGAGGACGGAGTTACGGTTCACTTCGCTCTGGAGCAGGTCAGGTGCCCTCAGAGACCACGCTCTGATGTCCACCATGTGTGTGCTGCCTCCTCCTCCTGGCCTGAGGTCTCACCGCAGCTGCTCTTGAGGTTGCCGCAGCCAGAAACTTCCCTTCTGGTGCTGGTTCTGGGGGGATTTAATCCTTCTCTTTCATCCAACCCTTTCCTCACCTTTGCCTGACCCACCACAGCCCCTCCTGGGCCTCCAGCCCCCCCGACGTGCCATGTGCCGTGGAGCCGCGTGCCGAGTGTCTCACCTGTGCAGCTCCCGTGGTGAACGATGACTCTCTGGATCTCGTTGAAGTCAGCTACGTATTCGGACGAGTCACCCAGGCTGGTTCCCGGGAGGTCCCTCGGAGGGGAGACGGAGCCATAGGGGCTCTCACAGGCTGCCTCCTCGTCCGGACTCTGGAAGCTCCCCTCCGATTGCCCCGACATCCCGTGCAGCTCGGGGTTTTCGGGGCTGTCTTCAGGGAGGAGCTCCTCCGTTTTGATCACAACCCTTATACCAGCTGCAGCAAAGAGAGATTCGCCGTCATTCTCGGGAGCCAGGACGAAGAAACCGCTCACAACAATCCCCGCCGGCTCCCCGCGGGCCAGCTCTGGCTGCTGATCCTGCCGAGGGGTTTCGATTGCTCGGCCACTTCTGCTCTTCCCTCAGCCCCTGCCCTTCAGCCATCCCCGCCACGCTCCTGCCTCTCGCCTGGGATCCTCCGCAGGCACAGGGGACTCCCTCTGCCCGACCTGGGGGCTCAGCGCCTGCAGCTCAGCACCCCTCTGCCACCCCACATTCCCTGGCCGCAGCGCTCCCTGTGGGCAGCAGATGATTTTTCTCTTCCCATTGGCCTCAATTTAACTTCAAGATCCTCGTGACCAAGAGCACGGGCAGGGGGTCCGCAGCCCGGGGCCAGAGACCAGCAGTGGAGCTGACACCATCTCTTCTAGGACACCTCCTTATCTCCTTATCAGCACCCCTTATCTCAGAGTGGGAGTCGCTCCGGGACTCGGGGTCCCTGGCGCCCCGCTCCCAGCCCAGCCCTGCCCTTGGAGAAACCCCTCAGCACCCTGGGTCCCTGTGCGCAGGATGGGAGCAGGCTTCCCTGCCCCAGGGGGATGCTCCAAGGATAAACCCAGGCACCAACCACACAACCAGAGAGGGTGGAGAGGATTTTTTGGGAACGCTATGGCTCCCTTGCGTGGATAGGTTTTCCCAATGGGACCTGATTCTCCTTTCTTGCCGGGCACGGCGGCTCCCTGAGGACCTGGTCTGGTTGCAGACGTTTCCCTTGCTGACAGCTCCTAGTGCCCAACTCTCTGGGCTCTGCTTGCCCTGGTTTATATGTTGAGCCGTATCTGGACATCAAATCTCTCATCGGCCAAACCTTTCCTGCTCGTATGCAAGGCTCCTCCTGATAACCTCCTCGAGCACGGCTCTCAGCAACGCTTGCTTTAGCCTCGGGGTGAGCAGCTCCTCTGAACACAACCTACGGCTCCCCTCGCGCTAAGCTGCCGTCTCACCTGCGGTGGCATCAGTAATGATCTCGCTCTCTTCCAAGTCCTGCTCATTCCTGACCCGCGATTCCTCTCCTTGCTCGATCTGAGACAAAACACCAGGTTTGGAAATTGCATAGTCTGTTGAGAGACAGAGGGATGGAGGGAGGGATTACTGCACAAGGAATCCTACTATCGGCTTCCACCTCTCCCCAGCACCCGGGGGTCACGTCAAGACACTCAGAACATCCACAAAGGGTCTGCAGGCAGAAGAGCCTGGTGCTGCAGGCAGGCCAGGCTCCCTGGCCGGGCAGAAGAGATTCACGGAGCCAGGAGCTGAGGTGCCACACACAGAGGAACCACCTTCGAGAAGAAACCCAACCCGTACGTTTTTCTGGCAGGGTTTTAGAACTTCTCAAGCAAATTCCTGGCTCTCCTGAAGCCAAAAGCATTCCACCTCTGGCCCCAGCAAAGCCAGAATTTCTCCTGCAGCTTGAGTAGGAAATGCCCCAAAGGAGCGTAGCTAAGACGGCATCAGAGAACTTTTCACTCTGCAAAAGTTTCCTCTGAAGGGGTGCATGGGCTGGTACCTGCTGCTGACCCAGAAGATGAAGGGAAGCCCTTCCAACAGCCATGGGGAAGGTGCTGGTTTTTCACCAAGTAACTCTGTCTGGAAGGAGCCTCAGGAGGTCTCCAGCCCACCTGCCCGCAGGTGGCCCCCACCCAGCCAGGACAGCACCATGGCCCGAGCTGGGAACAAACCCGGACATTCCCAGAGGGATGCCCTTACCCAGACCTGAAACATCCTCCTGTGGTTTTAAGTCTCCATTTAAAATGGGACATTTGGGTCTCAAGGGAATCTTCAAGGAGGACTCAGAAGACGCCCAAGCCTGTGGGCAGCCAGGAGCCCCAGAGAACCTGCCTTTCACCAGGGCGAGGACACCCCGTATTTACCCAGGGAGATCAGCGACTCATAGTTCCCCTTCATCACGTTCTTGTACAGCTCCTTCTGCCACTCCTCCAGCTTCTCCCATTCCTTGTCGTTGAAATAGACGGACACGTCATCAAATGTCACCGGCACCTGCAACCACAAGCAGCACGGGTTCAAGCGGCCGCCTCTCTCCCCAGAAGCCCAGCATGTCAACTCTGGCCGGCGGCCCAAGCAGCTCACTCCCGCTCGGACACGGCCAGGCTTCAGCAACTTCATGGCCATCAACAAGTTGGTTTTTATATTTAAAACAACTCCTGGACATGTATTTCTATGAGATTAAAGGTCTCAGCCAAGTGGCCGGTTCCTGGTGATGAACCTAGACTGTGATTTCCCCAAATGACACCAACCTCCTCCTCTCAGTCCCCGCACCAGCAGGGACGACTCTCCAGAGGTGACCAGGCTTGCGCCTGCCTGGATGGAGCGTAAAGGAGAGAAAAATCGGGCACGAGGGCTGGACCTCATCTCTATTGATGAGCTGACGTAAAACCTTAGATTCAATTACCCCAGAACTCGAGGGAAAACTCTACCCGGGCCTGAAGGGCTCCCAGTTATCCTTAGTTATTGTGTGCAAACTGGCAGACTGCAGCTTTCAAGCCTGCTTGCCGAGTAATAATTTCTAAGGATAAATTCAGGATGTGCGAGCCGGGCTGCGCTCAGCTTCTGCTCCCCAACGGCACTAACGGGGTGTCAGGGTGCGAACCCCCCTCTTCCAGACCCCCTCCGCTCTCTCCGGCGAAGCGGCGACATTCACTTTGCCGTGTTTCATGTGGTCCCATCTGCAAACTTTCTTTTAGTGAGAGGGTCGTGAAATGGAAGTAGGAGCTTAATGTTGATGGTGGGCTCCTTCTGATAATCGGCTAAGCCCAACTGTGAGCTCAGGGAGCTTGTCCACCTTCCGCCGAATCCCAGAGGTTCCCCCTTCCCCACAGCAGCAGATCCCGCTTGCTCCTTCCCCGGCCCAGGAGATCCCCACTGCAGCACCAAGGTGGTAAAAGAAATGGCAGTCAAAAAAAGGAACCACCAAATCTGCAGGGTTTCTCTCAAACGGTGGTGAAAAAAAAAAGAAAAAAAAAAAAAAAAAAGA